AATGAAAATGAAAATGGAAGAGATGTGTTTGCATTGCTGGATCCACAAATAATTTAATTTCACTTTGACAAGATTAATTGTTGTCATTGGTTGGGTCTACATGTCCATGAATTTGCTACTACCTACAACTACACCATACTAGAAGAATGTTTGGATTCAACAATAACAGCAATCTTTCTGTTCAAACAGTCAACTGATGCTTGGATTTTTATTACTTGCACATATAGTTTTACTTTCATTTTGATGTTATTTTAATTGTCCTTCTAATCTATTTTGTAACCGCATGCCAAAGCAAAATGACAATTAAGAAACCCTAGAATCTAATCTTGTGAAACATTAATTTTAAAATTGGCAAGCTTAACAAATTTTATTAAATTCCTGCAATTCCCTTTTGTTTCACATCAATTTGGCTTATGTTAAGAAAGATACAGATAGACTTAAAAAAAACTTGGTTAGAAAATATTAGAAATGACATTTTTTTATTAGATTTAAATGAGAATATGATTCTTAATAAAACACAATGGAGAAAAATGATTCATGTAGACGACCCCATGTAGTGGGATAAAGGCTTGTTGTTGTTGTTGTAGTATATGCATGCTTACATAAATAACCTAAAGAAAAAAACTACTAAATAAATGAAAGTAGTGTTCAATTAGCAGCACAAGAGTTGTATTTACAACAAGCCTGAACTTTAAAATCTATATTAAATTTGCTTGCCTTGAAAAAATTAGTGACAATGAATTTAACATTTGATACTCATCAAGCAAATCAAGTTTTAGCCATTGTGCTTCTTACAATGCAATCCATGAATAATTATATACAACTTATTACACCAGCGAACAAGATATCTCTACAATTCACCATCAGTAGCGATGGAAAGAAAAATCTTAGGCATGGGCTGGAAGCTCATGAAATGAAGTCAAATAAGATACACTGAGTAATCAATTAATATCATAAATTATTGAAAATTTTAGCATTTAACCCTATACAATACATGATTTTATACAGCAATACCTTTCAAGCAGATAATTTATTTAATACTCTTGTTCGAAATCTTTTGGAATGTAGAAGTGTATTGGTTGAAAGTGCATGTTTCTTCTTCATATCAACAGCCGATTAACAGTTAGTTTTTTTTTTGTGAATATTTTCACAAAATCAGTCAAAACATACAAATGACTAATATGATATGAGCCAAGAAATAAAAATACTGACATGCATCCTTAAGGGAAGCTAAGAACTCATAATAATATTGTAGAGGGCAACTAATTAAAAATAAAAATAAAAATACAAAACCGAATATATATCATATATATGCTTAGATTAACAGACAATTCCTTTTAAGAAAACTAACTCAAATGCTTAAATATTGCCTGTGATGAAATATGTACTTTTATATTTGACCAGATAAATGAAATTTAAACCTGAAGATTCTTTCAAGGCATTTATCATTATCAAATTGTTTAAAATTTTAATGCAATTTAATTTTCTTCTTAAGTCTCTTTTTTGTTAATATGTGTCACAAGCTTCAAAGGAGATGAAAATGATTTCTTATTAGGAGCATTAAACCTATGTAGTAGACCTAGTAGGAGAACTATTTTAATATTCTTTGATATCCAAAGCTTTGTATAAAGTCTCACATAGTATTTTTTTTGCGATTTTTAGTCTAATTTATCCTTAATCCTCAAATATCATAATAAATAAAATAAATAATGGTATATTGGTAGTTTATAGATTTGTTGCAATATTTCACCCAAATTAGTTGATTATTGATTTTGTTTGCTTTGTGCGTATTTTGCTGAAGGGAAAGGTGATAATAACTGCAGTCCCTGGAGAGAAGTTAGAAGTTCCTGATGATGCAGTAATAGAAAACAAGGTATATTACTAAACCCTTATAATTTCCAATGTTCAGCTCAATTGCTGCTGACTCTCTCTCTCTCTCTCTCTCTCTCTCTCTCTCTCTCTCTTGTTTCCTTTTTCTTAGGAGATCAAGAGCTCTGAGGATATCTAAGCTTTAGCTTTCTTGCATATGGAGTTTTCCAATGGCAGTCATCTGCTCATTAATGGTAATAATAATCAATCATGTATAAACCCTGAGAAGCTACAAAAAAAAATACTCATGCTTTTACTGCAGTTTAAAGATATATTCACCTTTCCTTTTTTTCAATGATGAGCTTTACGAACCCTTTTTTTTTTTGTCTTCATTATATTTTCTACGATTGCATTTTCCGAAAGCATCTCTCATATAATGGGACAAAGGCTTGTTGTTGTTGTTGTTGTTTCGAAAGCATCTAATTTCGAAGACTTTGCAATAAATTGCATTGCTTTGACCTCAAACTCTATACCAAGATTGGGAACACATGACATTTGCGATGCCCGTGCCATCACTTCCGCTCGCATCACTTTCGCTCGCTTGCTAGTAACAATATGTGTCGATCTTCTAGTTTGAATACATGACACCTCTCAACCTCATGACCTTCACCTTCGCAACGGCGAACACCGTCACTCGACCCTATTGGCAGAGCCCTACATGATGAGTGCTTCTTGATCATGATATTTCAAATCATAAGAAAAAATTATTGTACTTCAAGTAATCTAATATAAAAAATTAAACCCTGAAATTTATTTTTAAAGTAAATAAATATCATAATATATATATTTTACATTATATGTAGAATATATTTGATTGTAAATCACATGTTTCTTTAAATTACACAAAAGTTATCTCGGGTTCTCTATGTAATTGAAGGAAATGAGCCTTTGGGTATTATACTTGATCATATTTGATCCTTATACGAGCAACCCTAATTAATGAAATTATTAGTGGCCACTAAAGCAACTATAATCAAAATCCCTATAATTTATTAGGTTTTTTAGTTGTATTAAAATTATGGCTATTAAAATGGTCCTAATCTTTTGGCAAATTAAGTTTTACCTCACATTATGATAGTTCTTGCACTCATGCCTACATTGGCTACATGACTTTGATTACTTAAGTCTTGAGATAATCTAAGATAAACATGCCTATAAATTTATAACAAAATTTTTTTTATAAGTTGTCAAGAGGTATCTATGTCTGCGTATAAATACAAAGGTTAACTACTAATAGATTGTAATCATAGCTATAATTTGGGTTAGAACCCTATTCAGCGCACAGTTCTCCCGTTCGGTATCCGCACAGAATAATCACTCCTCAAATAGAGCATGCGGAATGAGCTTACATTGAGCATGCCGAATGAGCTTACAGTGTGTTTAATTTAATTTGAATGTGATGAACATGAAATTTTTTAAATCCAATTATTTTAATATAACATTTAAATTTCATTTGAGACTTTTAATAAATCTTTTTATTTAATTTTTTAAACTAAAAAATTACTTTAAAACATATTAAATAAACTGTCCAAATGAAACCTTAAATGTTATCAAATAATGAAACAAATATAAAAGAAAACGAAAATAATAATAATAAAGAAAACGATCCAATGTACTTCAAAATCAGCTTTAAGACGAGCGGATTTTTTTATTGGAAATAAAAATTTTGTGCTTAAAAATGCATAAATTTATTTTGAGATTCATATAATACAAAATTTTTATATGTAATATTAATTTTTTTAAAAAATTCATATTTTTCAAACTCATCCTAATCCTAATAGATTTTTTTTTTTTAAATTATTGGAAGCATGCCAACAATCCACGGAAGAGTTGAGGAGGCCACCTACACTCTTGACAAGTGTTTTCTGACTCCATAATTCAAATATAAATACTAATAATATTACATGAAAATTTTCAATCATTCGACTATTACTATATATATGAAGTAGAAGAAAAAACAAAACATTTTAATAGAATGAAAATGAATAAAAAAAAAAACTCTTTTGTCCTGATCAAATCAAATTTAATAGGTCTGCCCAAGTCAAAATAAGATCACATTAAACCATAAAACTAGGCCTGGATCTACTTGGAGCTGAATACTAAATGAGAGAGATTATTACGTGCGAAATTCAGACACGCCACATCATCCAATGCACTATGCATTGAGTGATGCGGCACATCCGGATTGACCTCCAGAAGCATTCGGACACCGCATTTAATAATTTTTCCCTAAATGATGACTATATATATTTGAAAAAAAAGTAGCATAAAAATATCTTTGACGCAATGCAAATTGCATTAGAATAGGCTTCATATTCATTAAATTTGTACTGAGATTAGTGCAACAGATTGATATCCTAAATAGCACAAGCGCAAATCCAATGAATATGAAGTCCATCCAAATAAAATTTGCATCAAAATATCCTTACCCAAAATTTTTCCTATATATTTCAAGTAAGAAGCTATAGTTTAAATGGCATAAAAACTAGATCAATGATCCTCCCATATCCACTTTGGTGTTCTCATTCCATCATAACATTTCATGAAATAATAAAACATGCAAATATAAATATTAATAATATTACATGAAAAATCTTACTATATATATGAAGTAAAAAAAAATAACATTTTAATAGAATGAAAATGAATAAAAAGAACTTTTTTTTGTCCTGATCAAATTAATTTTAATAGGTATGCCCAAGTCAAATTAACATCACATCAAACCATAAAAACAGGCTTGGAGCTGAATCCTAAATGGGAGAAATTATCTTATGTAGAATTCAGATACACCATGTCATCCAATGTAACATATTAGGTGATATGGTGCATCCGGATTAACCTCCGAAAACGTCCAGACACTGCATGTAATAATTTTTCCCTAAATGGCAACTATATATTTGAAAAAAAAGTAGCATAAAAATATCTTTACACAACGCAAATTGCGTCAGAATAGGCTTCATATTTATTAGATTTATATTGAGATTAGTTCAACAATTTGATATCCTAAATAGCACAAGCGCAAATCCAATGAATATGAAGTCCATCCAAATAAAATTTTCATCAAAATATCCTTGCCCAATTTTTTTCCTATATATTTCAAATCAAGAAGCTAGTTTAAATGGCATAAAAACTAGATCAATGATCCTCCCATATCCACTTTGGTGTTCTCATTCCATCATAACATTTCATGAAATAATAAAACATGCAATACAAATAATATCATTTGTTTCAAATTCTCATGTATTCCATATGGTTCATCTTTAATATCATCAGTTAACACATTATTAACACTACAATTTTCATGCCTTGTAAAAATCTGGAAATGGCTAAAATATGTTACCAACCAAGTTGTAATCAAACTGAAGCTTCAATTTCATCTGATGCCACAACAGCTCCATTTGGATCATCATCAGCTCGAAGCTGTGATGAGACATCATCAATGGCTGAGTTCAGCTGAGCAATCTTCTCTGTCAATATCTTGCGAGTTTTCTGTTTTAGGGTTTAGGCCAATAATCCAATAGAAAACTTTTAGCAAAGCAAATTCACAAAGGAAGAATATAAGTGTCTTTGATCTATAAACATGAACAAGAAGGAAAAACTTATTAAATTTACCCATGAACTTTTTCTTTTGCTTGATATATAGCTATTCCATGAAGTCAAGTAATAGCTAACAGAGTAGCATACCATAATAAATATGCTTATTTGTTTTAAACGGTTAAGGTGAAAATGGTCTCTTAACTCTTTATGAAGAATCAAAATGATTCGCAGTTACATTAAAGGTTTATTTTGATTCCTAAGTTTTTTAAAAGGAATCAAAATAGTATCATGATTGACTATTTTCATTCCTCTTTAAGAAGTTGAAGGACTAAAATGATCTTTTAATATAATTCCGGATTATTTTGATCTTTTATAAAGAGTCATGAGACTATTTTGATCATTTTCTTCTTATTAAACAGTTGAAAGCAACTTTACCAAACTATAAATGGCAAAAGTCGCCGTGTCCGATGAAAATTAGCAATAGTATTACATGCAATATTCTCCAGTTTAGTAAGGTTTGAAAGGCTCATAAAAATTTATCTATGAACACACCCTTTGTTAATGTTTCTTTTTTTTTAATGGCTGGGTGGTCCCATTTCACAAAAATTAGAAAATTTTATCCTTGACAATTGAACTTGATTCAAACTGTAGGTCTACAGGTCTACAGGTCTACAACTCTATATAAGCTCATGAAGTTATAAGGTAAGGCATTTTATTTGTCACAAAGAGGAGTAAGTCCTATAAATTTTATACTGTTACTATTTATTAAACAGAAAATATGATTAATAAATATAAATTTAGAAAATTAAATAAATTCCAAAACGCAAACTCTACAATACAATCATATGATTTACATTCTAACTTCAAAATCTAACTAACCCAAACATATAAAATCAAATAAAATGAGTAAGATGTAAGGCTGAGTCAATGGGAAAGGATTAAAATGGTCCCTTAATTTTTTTATAAAGGATCAAAATGGTTCTTAATTATATTAAAAGATCATTTCAGTCCCTCAAGTCCTAAAAAAGAAACAAAATATTCTCATAGTGAGACTGTTTTAATTCATCTTTAAAAAAATGAAGGACCAAAATGCTTCTTTTTAATATAGTTGAGAATTATTTTGATCTTTTATAAAAAGTCAAAGGACCATTTTGATTCTTTTCTTCTGAGACGCATATAGCTTCAAGGAACATGAGCAAAAAAATGACAAGAGAAATAAGGAGAAAACGACAAAAATGTACTAAAAATATATTTGATAGACTGGATATACGGGTGACAATGATAAGTCGAGCTCAGAGCATCGATGTTTTTTTGGGCCTATAGAAGGAATTAATTTGGTAGGTCTAAACTCTTAGATTAATGGTAAATAACCTTATCACTCATTTTTTTATTTAAACATATAGGAAAGATATTTATAATAGATTAAATAAAGCAATTTGAAATAAATTTAAATTATATCATGGTCCCCGGGCGTTTGGGGCAATGCCATGGTCAGAGGATTCATAATTCGGTATCTTTTTTTCTTTTGTTTCTTTCACTTTTCTATTGATTCTTCTCAGCTACGTATGTAAATGTAAAAGATTTGTGAGGTGAATACTTAAAGAACTATCAAAGGAAATATCAAATAATACACAACAATAGAAACTCATTTCCTATGCTTAGGCATCTAAATCCTATAATTAAACTTATTCCAGCTATTTAGGTTGGCTTTGTGAATTCTCCTGCATTAATTTATGTTGAGTGCAACATAATATATTAACTCTATACTATGCAGTCTTTTTTTAAGCTTTCAAGTTTTTTACTTACAAACCCCTTAATCTTCCTCGTTTAAAGATAATAAACCAATCCAACAAAGTCATTACCAAGCCAATTACATGCTACTCATTCTAATGCATTCAAGATGGCAATAACAAAGATTGGCTTCATATGGAAATCTATAGTCTATACTTGTTGGAAATGCAAATAGTGTGTGGAAAAGAGCAATTTGATGATTTGAACTGTGTCCTCAATTTCTTTTATTTTTGGGTTAAATTTCAAAATGACCCCTCGACTATTCGTATGTGGCCATTTTAATCCCAGAATATAATGTTGTTTTAATTTAGTTTCTCGATCATACAAAATTGATCCAAAATGATCCTTTCGGGACTAAATTGGGTTTACTTTTGTAAAGTTGAGGGACTAAAGTGGGATCAATTTATATTACAATTATAACATGAAGGACTATTTTGAATCAATTTGATATAACCAACGGATTAAATTGAAGCAACATGATGTCCATAACTCCATGCCTATAACTCCATAAATATATTGGATGAGAAGAAACACGCAACAAAAGGATGTCCATAACTCCATGCATTCATTGGGGGAGAGATGGACAGCCATAGCTTTCTTCATTCATCTTGCAAACCCTAATTCTCCCAAAGGGGGAATATTTAAAGAATACAAAGAGTCATAAGACCCATTAGTCACACGCTAACTATTTAACGATTCAAACAACACTCAAAATGAATTAATGGAGAATGAGGGTTCACAAAACCAGCCCAAAGAGCCAAGATAATGTTAATGTGATGATGAAAAACATATTCTTCTTATTAAACCATGTTAACCTGAAAACCATCAATGTCTATGTCAGGCCTCTAGAGAAAGATTAATCAAATGTTCTTGGTGTTTTTATAAACAGGACAATATTCCGCAAGAATCATGATGGCATCAAATGTATCTAAGAAGGCATCCACCATACTGAAGAAGACTTCCACAGGCATTGATTATAAATTTTCTTTTCCCCAATCAGAATAACATAAAAACATAGTAGACGGTTAATGAATAACACAGGCAAAAAAAATTGGAGCTAATGTTAAACAATATTATCATGAATGGATCTACTGAATGATACATCCATAGTCCACGTATAACAGCTTTTGCTAGGCTGTCTCAAACTGCTTTTTTAAACTACTTTTCACAGACCTAGAAAGATTAAAATCAAAACACTTTTAGCCTTCGTTTCAAACAGCTTTTTGACTAATTTTGTGATAGGAAAAGCAGCCAATAAAAAATTGCCTATGTTTGGTAGACAACTTTTTCAAAATGTTACCATAAAAAAGCTTATTTTTGGAAAAGAAGAAATTGTTGTTGAAAAAATTGCTTATAAAAGCAAAAAAAAAGGCATAATCCGCATCAAATGAATTTAACCCTCAATTTTTTTGAAGTAATTTCTTTAGACAAAATCAACATAAATTTTATTGTCTGTGACTGACATTGAGATTGCATCCCTGCCTAAACTCTTAAGTTTTGTTCTTCTATTTAGTCTTAGCATCAGTACATTATATAGGCATTAAAAGTAACAATGATGAAAGGATATCACTTATCCTCCTCTAGCTTACTACATGCCTAAATACTAAATGGATCCAAGGATTGTTAAAAAAGGAATCTAAATCCTACATAAGAATAAGTGACATAACACGTAAAGTGCATTGAGGAAAAAAGAGTAACGGTGAAATGATATCAAGGTCATCTACATGCTATATGAGTTCTATAAATCGACAGAATAATCTCACCTCCAATGCCTTCTCTTCATCATAAATAAATTTTGGTAACCTCCTCATCAAATCCTTCCGGTCAGTTCCAGCAAGAACCTTGCTAATCTGGAATGAGAAATGAATTCATGCAGAAAGTTAAGGATTATATTAAAGCAAAGCTAAACATATGAAACAGGCAAGATAAAAGTTTAAGAACCTGAGGTGCAAATACACAACCAAGAGTTCCAACAATTATTCCTCCCAAAACAAAGCCCCCAATGAAGACGCCAGCACTACTTGTTCCTTCATCCCTGAGGAAGTTTGCAGGAAAGAAAATTTGCTGAGAATAGATTTCCATCCTCACATAGCATGTCTAAAAAGCATAATGTTTATCGTTCTCAGAATAAAAGAAATAATTCATTAAAATTAAAAATATGAGGGCAAAATATGTATGCACTTTATTCCATGAATATATTATGCATTCCAGTAAAACCACAGGAATCAAGGAATTTGGGAATTCTGTTGGGGGAGAGATGAGGAGTAAACACCACAATGACGAAACAAGCCAGAAAGTAAAAAACAACGGAAAAGTAAAGGATACTAAGATTAAATGTGAAAAAACTTAAAATAAGGGAAAAAAACATGGAACTACTCCGCACCAAGAAATCCACTATGAAAATTGGGAGAAATAAGTACACATCCCTCTTCTCTTTCATTCTCTCATTTCGTTTTTTCTCACATGCACCGTTCTCAATATCAACATACTCAAAAAATACAAGAGAAAGTAAGTTATAACCATCAAGGGATGCAACCCTTGAGAAAAACAAGAAAAATAACTGCTCGGTCCGTCTTGCAGCGCTGCGGCGCTCAGTCTCTGTTTGACAATGCTGCAGTGCTCAAACATTCGGTGTTGCGGCGCTCAGTCTTTGTCTTGACCCGCTGCGGCGCCATATCTCAAATGTTGTGGTGTTATGATCTCTGTCGTTCATCACTGGGGCACTTGGGAACACGACGACGGGGCGCTCGGGTACGCAAAACCGGGACATTGTACAAAAAGAAAAAAAATTCAGGTGCAAGCAGGGGAGAAACCCCCGCACCTCCCAGTGTATACGACAAGCTTTGAGGTCCTAGATAATATAACAACCCCATTGATCAATGTTGAAGTATATTTTCACATTGACAAAATTCTAGTCCGGATTGAGTCGACTCTAACCCGACTAGGCTCGATAGTGCTCGACCCATTTAATCGAATGCCGTCGAAGAGAAATCGGACCCCGATTTGTTGAAATTAAACTTTAATTTCATCAAATTAGACTCGTTTTAATTAAATTTAATATAGTTATCATCATTCTTATGTCGTGCTCAATTATAAAGTATGCAATCTGTTTGAGGATATAAAAATTCTCCAACAATCAACGCAATCAAATTCCACACAACAAATTTGATATAGATTTGTTTATGTACAAATTATTTAATTTTAATTTAATAATTTAATAAGAATATATAATTTATAAAATTGAGTTCCGTGTTAATTGCAAGTCAAAATTTTATCCTCGTCTTGCACACGGGTAAAACTTTTTTGACTTTTTATCGTGCGACGACCTAGGTAATATAGGTATCTTTCTTAAGGATTTTTTATATCATTATTAAATTTAGAGAATTGGAGAAAAAAAAGGCTTAATTTTATTATACAAAACAATTCCTATTTATAGATCTATACAAGATGATTTAATAAAGAAACAAATAACTACAGAATCATGCAGAATTACCTTAATATAATCCTTTTCTAATCAGCCACCCAAATATACAAGGAGATCGGTCTGATCCAGGCAAGCCTCCCACGGATCCCTATGTTGGCCATGGGATCAAGGACCACGGGATAGACAGCGTGATCCAGGTGAGCCTCCCATGGATCCCCATGTTGGCTGTGGGATTAAGGGAGAAGGGGCAGTTGGGATTTAACACTCCCCCTCATGCTGAGGAATACATAATTATCATTCACAGCTTGGTAAATAGTCCCAAAAAGGTAGAGTTATCAAAGTCCCTTGGTAAGAATATTTGTAGCATCGATTTCATCGTTTTCTAGCACCCCATGCATCTTGGTTTCACCTTCAATAAACTCCAACTACTCTTTCTTTAGGAGCAGCACCGTTACATCACCATCATACAAAATTTTATGCATTCTTATACTTTGAACAAAAGAATCAGTAATGCCATCATAAAACCTTTGATCATCTAGCCATCAAATTTTTATCTTTGAACAAACAATTGAGTCATCCAAGCCTTTCTTATGCTTTCTTAGTCCAACAGCCTCTTGTACGGCCTGAGCATGCTTCCATCTTGATTATGTTTTACCAGTATCTTTAATATGGTTATGATCTTTAACCAAATCTTTTATTATGCTTTACAAGTATCTTTAACATAGTTATGATCTTTAACCAAATCTTTCATTGTAGACTTTTGAGAAGAGAGAATTTCCTTTAATTTCAATCCTTTGTCTTCAGCCTCAGTATACTTAACTCCTCTCTGCTTCTTAGTGCCAGCAGTTTGCTTGTTCTCCGATAATCTCACTCTAACTTTTATTTGAGATCCATTTCTATCTCCATTACTTAGAAGTTATTTGTCATAATTACTCCGAGATTTTTTCTTATTACCAACTCCATAATGATCATTTGCTTATTGATAATTGCAATGAAGCATTTCTTCCGCCTTTGCGAGAACTTAGATCTGACCTTCTATCAGGCTTTGTTGTACCTGAATCCAAGATATGTTCAGAATTAACTCTAGATCTATCACTATGATGGAAAAATTCAACCTTTTTCTTTGCATCCATGGAATCCCCATTCCCATTCTGAAAAGATCCATTATTCGTCATTGGTTTATAAGATCCATCTACAGCAACAACAATTTTTTTAGGATGAAAAATTTCACCTTCCTGTTGTTCAGATCCCTAAGCCGAGTCATTAAAAAGAAACCGCTCAGATAATTTATGGTCAGCTTCCCAATTTTCACTGGAAGCATTCATTTCATTATGTATCGAAGTGTTAGGTTTCCCCTGAAATACAACAACAACAACATCAAGCCTTTTAACCCACTAAGTGGGGTCGGCTACATGAATCCTTTTTCTCCATTATGTCCTGTTAAGAGTCAAATTCTCATTTAAATCTAATAACAAAGGTTATTTCTAATATTTTCTAATCAAGTCTTTTTAGGTCTACCTCTGTCTTTCTTAACATGATCAAATCTAATACATCTACTCTCCTAATAGGGTTAACTAAAGGTTGTCGTTTTACATGACCAAACATCTAAGGCGACTCTCTCTAATATTATCTATCACTGGAGCTACTCCAATCATTTTAAGGATATGCTCGTTTCTTGTCCTGTCTTTAAGAGTAAATCCACTCATCCACATGAGCATCCTCATCTCAACAACACTTAACTTAATATAATGCTTTTCTTTTAATGGCCAACATTCTGCACCATAAAGCATTGCAGGTCTCACCACCTTCTTGTAAAATTTTCGCTTAAGTTTGAGTGGTACTTTTGTATCACAAGAAACCCGAAGCATTCCTCCACTTAAACCATCCAACTTGAATTATACTAATAATATTCCCATCAATTTCACCAGCACTCTGAACAATAGACCCAAGATATCTAAAACGAATACAATTACTAATAACTTGATCGCTCAAAGTCACAAACCCCCACTAGATCTTTTACTACTAAAATTACACTCCATGTATTCGATTTTAGATATACTCAAACGAAAACCTTTAGACTCTAAGGATGACCTCCATAATTTAGGTTTGCCTTCAACACCCCCTGTAGTCTTATCAACAAGAAGAACATCGTCAGTAAAAAGCATATACCAGAGTACATCATCTTGCAAATGTCTAGTAAGAACATCCATGACTAAAGCAAAAAGATAAGGGCTTAAGGCTGATACTTGATGTAATCCAACTGAAATCAAAAAATACTTGGTCAAATCACCTTGTGTTTGAATACAAGTAATAATTCCAGCATACATATCCCTAATGACTTGAATATAAGCATTATTAACCCCTTACTTTTCTAGAACTCTCCATAGCACTTCTTTGGAACTTTATCAATATGTTGTCTAAATAAATAAATAACATAGGTAAATCCTCCATATTCTCTCTAAACTTCTCTATCAACCGTCTCAATAAATGAATAGTTTCCATAGTAAACCTACCTGGCATGAATCCAAATTGATTTTGAGAAACATAAGTATCATGTCGTAACCTATGCTCCATAACTCTCTCGCAAAGTTTTAAAGTATGACACATCAACTTAATTCCTCTATAATTCACACAATCTTGTGCATCACCTTTATTCTTAAAAATAGAAATCAACACACTCATTCTCCATACATCTGACATCTTTTTAATATTCAAAATAATATTAAAAAATTTAGTAAACCAAGAAATTCCTTTATCTCCTAAACATTTCTACACCTCTATTTGAATATCATCAGATCCAATTGGTTTTTCACACTTTATTTAAAGCCTCTCTAACTTCAGTTTTACTAATAATCAATAAACATAAAAATCTCTATTTTCATTTAGAGTGCTGAGGTCACTAAAGTCAATCATATTCTCCCAATTTTCATTTAAAAGCTTAACAAAATATCTCGTCCACCTTTGTTGAATATCCTTTTATAAAAAAAACACTTTTTGATCTTCAAATCGTTACTACTCTTATCTTTTTGTTTGACTAACTTATACATATATCTTTCGCCCTATTTAAGATATAATCTATTATATAAATCATTAAAAGCTAAAATCTTTGCATCACAGATAGCTTTTTTAGACACCTTATGAGTCTCTTTATATCTTTCCCAATTTTCAGAGTTTTTAAATCTAAACCAATTATTATAACAAAGCTTCTTTTTTTTTTAATCTTTTCTAGCACATTTTGATTCCACCACCAACTATTTTTATTATTAGAAGCTTTTCCTTGAGAAATTCCAACCACATCCTTTACAACATTTTTAATATTACTAGCTACTTTTTCTCACATAACATTCGCTTCCTCATGTACAAAAAAAATGTTAAGATATTGAATTTTACTTCTAACAATATTTTTATTAGTATTTTTTAAATGCCCCCATCTAATCTTAGAATAATATTTTACTATATTTTTCATATTCTACCCTTCATCTTAAAGTCCAAAATTAATAAGCGATATCGGGTATATAAAATTTCAATCGGAATAACTTTAAAATCATTGCAATTTAAATGATATATTTTTTACAAGAAAATAATTAATTTGAGTTTTACTATATCTATCT